CATTCATCGCGGCCTTATGGGCGACTTGTATGGCAACGTCGACGCCACGAATTGGGGAACGGCCAAGGATCGACTCCAACGGGTGTTGGAGGGCGATGGCCGGTTCAAGCACGTCACCACCGAACTCAGCGTTGGCCCAGAGCCCGAACAGTCCGAGTTCACCCGTACGCAAGGTGGCTCCACAGTGGCCGACGTAGCCACGTTCCGTACACAACATCGGATCTACCGTCATGACGTCGACGACCTCGATCAAGCCTTGGCGCAGGCCCGCAACATCTTGTTCGTGTGCCTGGGGGAGGCCACGTTCGCGCGCATTGCAGATCAGCCAACGCACGAGCTGTGGGCGGCCCTCGATAAGGATCTCGGCGCCGCATCCCACGACTTCGCACGGTCGGAGAAACTCGATGCCCTGTTTTCGTACCAAGCCTACGTCGACGGAGACCCTCTCGACCCTTGGTTGTCGCACTTCAACCGGTTGTTCACCGATCTCAACGCCGCGCACGTTTCCCGCGACAAGGCTTACCAGCGCGCCAAGATCGACGGGGTCAAGTACACGCAAGCTGAGTTTGACAAATGGGTTCCGCCGCCTGCGTTGTCGGAAGGCATCCGCATGGACCTCTTGAAGGCGAGGATGCCACGGCCTATTGTCACGGTTATCGACGCCCTCGGCCCTCTCCCGTCGCTCAGTGATGTGGAGGGCGCGATTCGTCGCGCGGCGATGTCTCGCTCTTCCGGCACCGACGTCGCCGAAGCCCTCGCGGCGAAGACTCAGGGTCGTCGCAGGCGCCCCGCTCGTTCGTCCGGCAAACCGAAGTCCAGTTTTCTCTCGGCTTCAAAGGTACCGGGTCTCGTGGACAAGTGGCCGCACGGGGTTGCGCAGAACGGTCGCCTGAGGCTGGGCCCGTTGCAGTGTCGGAAATGCTACGAGCAGGGTCATCTTGGCGACGAATGTACCGTCCCCGCGACCGAACTGTCCCGTCGTCGGGTTGCCGTCTTAGCCAAGCACAACATCTCCATCGGCGCGGCCGACGCGATGGCGCTCGTGGCTGAGTACGGTCCCGACCCATCGGTTGACGACGACTCTTACGAGATTTTTTTTTGCCGACGTCGCCCTTGACACCGAAGTCTCTGCGCTGTACTTGCACGACGGTCCCCGCTACCTCCTCGACTCGGGGGCGACGCGCCACATGACCACTCGTCGGGATCTCTTGGTCGATTTCCAGCCTTTCACGACGGAGCGTGTGCGCGTAGTCGGCGCATTCAAGTCCAGCGCCATGGCTGTCGGCAAGGGCACCCTTCGCTTTGACGCCAATGGGGTGCCTCTCGAGCTCCGCGACGTCCTTCTCGTCCCGGGTCTGTCCGCCGAGCTCGTCTCTCTTGCAAGTCTCATGAAGGACGGGTACCAGCTGTCTGGGATTTGCGACGTCGCGGGCGAACACTGGTCTCACCGTCTCGGGTCCGGCTTCGAACCTCACCTTCGCTCTCGATCGCAACCACTACGTTCTCCAGGCGCGTCCGGCCTCGCCTCCTCGGGCGGATCACCAAGCGCTGACAGCCACCTCCTTGCCTACAGATGTAGTGCTTTGGCATCAGCGTTTGGGTCATCTGTCCTGGGGTCGTTTGGTAGAACTTGCTAAGTCGAGCGACATTTCCCTCGACATCTCTGCTGTAACCCGGGATCAACTTCGTCTCCTTGATCAGTGCGATGCCTGCTGCTCCGGCAAGGCCGTGTCTGCCCCCAGTCGTGAGGCTGCCCACCACCCCGCCGACGCACCTTTCGCTCGGGTCTTCGCCGACGTGTGGGGGCCTTCCCCTGTCCCTCCTCTCTCCGGCGTCCGATATCTGTGCGGTATCACGGATGAATACTCACGTTTTCGCTGGGTTCGCGGCATTCGGCTCAAGAGCGAGGCTTCGTCCGTACTCAAGGGCTTCGTTGCGATGTCGAAGATCCAGTACGCTGGCCCGGGAGTGGCGACCTTGCGCACGGATAGGGGGGGGTGAGTTCGTCAACAACGACCTCCGGGATTGGCTTGCTGAGCGGGGCATTTTTCACGAGCTATCCACGGCATACGAGCACGGTCAGATGGGCATACAGGAGCGGAGTTGGCGTACGATTTTCAACTCTGTTCGGGCGTGGCTTCATCGTTCGGGACTGCCGTCATCGCTGTGGGAAGAGGCTGCGCAGGCGGCCATCTACGTTATCAACCTCCTCCCGTCGTCGCCTCTGCAGCAGCGCACCCCTGATGCCGTTCTTCACGCCGCTGCGGGTCCCGTTACGTCCACCCGTCGTCCCCGCATCGATCGTGTCAAAACCTGGGGCTGCGCCGCCCAGGTACCGTTTGCTCCCGAACAGCGTTCCAACAAGTTGGCTCCGCGTTCGCGCCTGTGCTACTTTGTCGGGTACTCTTTGCGCTCTAAGGCCTGGCGCTTCTACGACCCGGTTGGCAACAAGGTCTTCGAGTCGTCTCAGGCCAAGTTCTTCGAAGATCGCTTCTTCCCCGCCGCGGCAAACCCTGTACCTACTGTTGTTGCGCCCGCCGTTCTGTCCTATCCGTCCGCCCCGCGCAGGGTTCCTCCTCCCGACCTTCCCCCTGACGACGACGATACTGTCAATCCTGCGGGCGTCGCACCTGCCGTCGCTGCCGCTCCCGCTGTTGCCCCCGCCGCTGCCGTCCCGCCCGCGGCTGGTCCGGTCGACGTTGTGGCCCAACCTGTTCCGCCCTCCCTCGTGTTCTCCAACCCGGGTCCGGCGAACGCCCCTCCTGTGGGTGATCGTTCCACTCGTGCTCGTCGCCCCCCTGACTACCTGGGTTTCGCCCGCGCGGCTTACGACTTGGAGTTCGCCGCGCACGCCTCCGTCTCGATCGAGGACTTTGACGAGGACGATCCCGAAGTCCAGCTGTACTCGTACGAGGAAGCAACTGCCTTTCTTGCCAAAGTCGACAAGGACGACGCCCCTTCCGTTCGCGCGGCACTCGCTGGTCCGTTCCGCGACTACTGGCTGGCGGCCATGGCGACCGAGGAGGGCGCACTGGCGGCGAAGCAAACATTTTCCAAGCCGCTTCGTCCCCCTCACGGGGCTATCATAATCGGCAGCATGTGGGTCCTCATGGTGAAGCGCGACGCCGAGGGCAAAATCGTAAAGTACAAAGCTCGCCTCGTTGCGCGTGGGGACATGCAGAGGCGTGGTGAGCAAATTGACTCGTTCTCGCCTACTGGCCGCGCCGCCTCCCATCGCCTGCTGCTCGCCCTTGCCGTTGAGAACGAGTGGGAGACCCGGCAATTCGACGTCTCGTCGGCATACCTCAACGGCAATCTCGGTGGGACGGAGATCTACATGCGCCTGCCCAGTGGGCAAGTCGTGCGCCTTCAGCGCGCGCTGTACGGACTCGTCCAGGCGGGTAGGGAGTGGTACAAGGTCTTCACCGAGTGGATTTTGTCGATCGGCTTCACGCGTACCGACAGCGATCATGCCGTCTTCATTCGCAGGGAAGGGGACAAGCGCTGTTTCCTTTCCATCCATGTCGACGACGGACTGCTCACGGGTGACGGCGACCTCGACGGCGTTCTCACTCAGCTCAAGGCGCGTTTTGAGGCTCGCAGCACGGACGAGGCGTCTTTCTTCCTGGGTCAGAGTATAATCCGTGAGGGCAAAACGGGTGCGGCCATCGTTACTCAATCTCATTTTGTGGATGCGATTCTCGAGGAATACAACATGGCCAACGCCTCCCCGCGCCCCACCCCGCTTGCGGCACCGTCGACGCTGAGGAACCGTGTGAACTCTGATTTCGACCCCGCTTCCATACCGTACCGTGCCATTGTCGGCAAGCTTCTGTATCTGTCCGGCACTACTCGGCCCGACATCGCTTTCGCCGTGTCCAAGGCTGCTCGTTTCTGTAACAACTTCGAGGCGGAACATTGGGAGGCGCTCAAGCACATTCTCCGGTACCTCGTCGGCACTCGTAACTTTGGCATTCGATACCAGAAAACCCATCAGCCGATGTCAGCCATTTTGGAGGGTTTTGTCGACGCGGACCATGGTGCCGACCCTGTGACCCGCCGCAGCGTCTCGGGTTACGTCTTCACGTGCGCTGGCGGGGCAATCTCCTGGATCGCCAAACGTCAGACTCTTGTCACTCTGTCGAGCACCGAGGCCGAATATGTGGCCATGTCGTACGCTGCTCGTGAGGGGATCTGGTTGCGTCGGCTGCTGGCCGATCTTGGTTTTGAGCAGACATCGCCAACTCGTCTGAGGGGTGACAATCAATCGGCTATCACTCTGGCCAAGCACCCGGCTTTCCATGCTCGCACCAAACACATCGGGATCCATTTCCACTTCATCCGAGATCACATTGCGGAGGGCACAATCGAGATGGTCTGGGTGCCCACGGGCACCATGGCTGCGGACGTCCTCACCAAAGGGCTCGGGACTCAGAAGCACTATCAGTTTGTACACGCGATGGGGCTTATCGATTCATCGCGTGAAGGGGCGAGTTGGTGTGTTGGGAATGAGGGTTAGGAACCGCGCGTTCTTTGGTAATCTGTTTAGAAGCGCTCGTCTGTTTAGTGAAGCCTGGCGATGCGCACCAACCGTTGTCTTCTCTCCACGGTTGGATTACACGCTCGTCAGGTACGCATGTTTAGCTTCACAGCCACTTTCGTTGCAATTAACTGACGGTTGGATTACACGCTCGTCAGTCTCTTATTCCTCCGCAGTGGGACCAGTAGTCTGGCGCTGATGCTTCTTTTACACGGCCTAGAAAGCCCTGGGACAGGTCAAAACTCTGGCTTTGAAGGAGTGCCATAAGCTTTGCGATAAATTATTCGGGGCCTTCTAAGAATTAGCATTATGGAGGCGCCAGCTTCGCGGATCCAGGCGCCGAAAGGAAGAGCTAGGCCGGACGTGCACGGACGTCACTCTACAATCTGTGCATCAGCGCCTTTCTATCTCAGGAGCTTCAAGCTATCCTTAATTCCTTAATGGTGAACCTCTTCTTTTGATGGACTTCTGGGGCCGAGCGCGATGCTGCGACACCGCTCTCGGAGGCCGCAGCCGCGAGGTCACTATAGGAGCTCTGACCCGGAGGCCCGCTCGCATACGTGGCTCTCCCTCCGTCTCGTTAAACGATCCAATCAATTCGAGTCCACTCTAAAGTTCCCATGATTACACGATCGCTAGCTGGGCTTGCTTAGTTGAGGCGGGCCGGTCTAAGCCCCTGAGACACTGCATCGGCCTCTGTCCGCTCGAACGTCAGGTTTTGCACTTCAGACGCCGAGGGCGAGTGTGGACCAGCGCGCCTAGAACTTTGAGCAAGCACTAGCAGGGTCCCCCTATCCCGCGTCCCCACGCATAACTACCCTCCCTCCCCATGGCACGCAAGCTATAAGTCATAAGTTCATGCTGCACTACCTTCCTCTTTGGGTCGCAGGCGCGCGAGACCGGCGGTGGGCTTTCCGGCGACTCTTGGGCATGGCGACAGCGTCATAGCTACGTCGTCGAGCCGTCAGCAGGTGGGATGGGCGTCCACGTATGGTACAACACCACTGTAATGGAGGATACACTGAGACATACAGCTGAAACGAAATCTCGAGGCAAGTTCCATGGCAGGCCGAAAATGAAGGACTGCTGGCCCCTAGGCCCCTCTCACTACTGTGGGTTCTCGAACTAGATGACACCGAGCCAATTCGCCCCGGCCCAGATATCGCTAGTTCGAGGTGTGCATGTGCATATGTCATCGCCCCGGACGATGCTAGGCTCTGTCGATTTGGATTCTTCTGGATGATTTTGATGGCGATGGGGTCATCTACACGGCCATCATGCACGACAGCAGCCCGTATTCTGGAAGTGGCTTTGTAAAGGCAAAACCACCAAGTCAATTATTAATGAAGTTGATTGGACAGTGCGCGGCCGCCGGCCAACGGTGAACGCACCGGCGCCGCGCGCGCCCTCGATCACTGGCTTCAGCCGACTAGAACCGACTAGAACAACTTGTACCCCGACCCCATCCCCGACCGACGACCTCTGGTGCCTCGTCACCTTCACGACTCGGTAATCTGCACTGCCGGTCTCTGTGACTCACGATCGTTCAATCCACCGTGTTCTGAAGTGAACAAGCTTGCCCGGCGTCCGAGTCATTCTCTCGGTCGCTCCCTCTCATTTGGGACGCCACGCCGCTCAAGGCGCCAGCCGCCTCGACCGCTCTTCGCTCGCTCGTCAAGTGCTCATATCACATCCCGGCCGGTGACCGCCATGGCAACCGTCACCAGCATCAGGGCAGTCGAGCCAGGCTTGGATGCTCACACCAATACGAATCAAAGTGAGTCCGTCTTCAAACCCAAGTCCTTAATCGACTGAGTGAGCCGGCAGCTGCGGAGGCCATTCGGCGCTCGCCGGCCCCCACGCGCTATCCTCGCAAAGTCCAGACCGGCTCCGATTTGGGACCTGCGCTGTGGGGTATGTGCTCTTCGGAGGCTCAGGTTCTGCATCAGAGGAAGGGTTGCCGCGGCGTGTACCGCCTGTTCTCGTGTCCTGTTGCACTTCTGTTGTCATTTTGGTCGATGACACTCGAGTGCCATTGAGTGACAAGCTCTTAAAATAGCGACTGACCGTGACGACTTGACCGGTCCTCGGACCTCGCGCAGCCTCATCGCCATCGTTCAAACCTTCGGCGCTCGGCCCCAAAAAGGTTCATCATTTGCCCTCGCTCTCGTCGCCGTCTTCGCTAGGAGGCACCAAAAATGCCGGGGGATCATTCCTCACACCTCTGTCGGCCGATTCCAATAAGGGCTTGATTCGCAAGAACTCGGTCAGCCAGATCCCGCTGACCGCCGCGGCCGTCTCGTACCCGACTATCGTGGCGCGCTCGGACGGGCATTCGAATTTTGTTCCCTGTGGTCCTGCACCGACCCCGACGTCAAAATCGAACTTGACCGGCAAGGAATCGCGAGAGAGCCTTTACACACCAAAAGAGGACGACCCTTCTCAAGCCGTTATTCTTATCGTGAAACGAGGATCAAAAACCCGACCAGCCCCGCTCAAAATTACGCCGAGCAACCACACCTTCCTCTCCCCGTTGTTCGAGAAGACGGGCATCTCGAACAAACTCGGGTTTGGATCGGGAAAAGACGCTATGAGCTCGTCGTCAGAACGAGTCACCACACCACGGAGCTGGTCCTCTAGGAGGGCTTCCAGACTCGAGTCGAATGGCAGCGAGCCAAGAGCGACTTCTGCTGACGTGAGTCGACCGGAATCGCATTGCCGGCGGGGGAGCAAAGCTCATAACTGACTGAAACCATCCTACCCCACGATCGGAACGTGCAGAGGCCAACATCGGTCAATTATCCATATGCCGACGAAACACGAAGCACCGAGGCGATGCTTGCGCGGGCGATCGAGTCGCAAGGCGGCCAGGACCTCACGCGCCAGAACGGCATTACGTACCCTTCCGGCAACACCCCCAACAGTGCACCTGCAGTGACAACCTCACCACGAGTTCCAGTGCACTCGATTCCTCCTCCATCAGCCGAACGGGTACCCGCACCGCAGTGGCCGCGGATGCCCTCGACAGCCTTGCCGACCTCGGTCGTGACGCCTCCTCCATCTCCTTCGGAGTCTCGGCGGCCGAGTGCTACTTTGCACCGTCGCTCAGCGTCGGCCGAGGAGTCGTCCCCCAAGCCGCTCCAACGCTCCACATTCGGGCTTCCGGAGCGGTCGCAGCTCGGGAGCCGACCCGTGACGTCCTACGTACCCTCGATCAGTGGTACAGCCTCGTCGCAGCACCCAATTTCGACCGAGACGTCTACGACATCGCACAAAGCAGCCCATCCGCTTTCAGTCTCGCCACCTGTGAGCGCAACGGCAGAGCCCAACCAGTTGGCGGCCTTGCGAGGTGGTCGACGGTCCAGCTCGACGACGTCTTCCTCCGGGGGTTCGCTCTTAGGAACCTACAACCAAGATCGTCGCGCTACGGTCCGAGTCGACGACTTTGCTTCGTCCAAACGACGTGGTAGCCCGCCGCCTCCTGCGGGAACCTCTTCGTCTCGTCGACCTTCGACCGCGCACGCACCCCAGGTGCCGAGCGCGGAACATGTCAGCATTAGCCTTAAGGCGGCTACGCCCTCTGCTGCATCCCGCGAAATTGCACGGCCGGCGCTGAGCAACGACGGCATCACCTTGCTCTTGACGAGTAATCACCGACCCGAGAATCTCGAGGTCGGATGGAGCTGCACGAGCGGTATCGGCGAAGATGGCGTTCCTTATTCGACGTACTCGTTGACGCTCAAACCCAAGGCTTTAGCGCCGGTCCGCCGCCGGTCTTCTGCTACTTCTGCGCGCAACATCCAGCCTGTCTCCCGTGCTGCTGCGGCACCCAACGACGTCGACTCGACTAAGGCGTCACTGTATTCGTACAGGCTCAGCTCGGAATCGGCCTCCGACCGTTCGCCCTCTCAGAGCGGGCTTTCGGATCCTGAATCACCGAGGTCGGCGCCGATCCCCAACAGCGCCAAATTACCCGACGGTTCGGACTCTGTGCCCGCCCCTCAACTCTCCGCTGGCGGCGATGCAGCGAGTGCGATAGCGTTGGAGGCCCCGTGGCTCATCACACCTGCCGATGCCGTACTGCAACGCCGCAACTCGGCCCATCCCAAGGTGGCGCCGAGCCCTACGAAGCAGAGGTTCGACAAGTACCTGATGCAACAGAACGGGGCGTCTTCCGGTGCATTGGGCCTCGGGTTTACGCTTGGTCCTGCGTCGTCTGTCCCCACGGCGGCGGCGCAGACGATGACTCGTCCCTCTCTTGCGGACCGATCGCACTCGTCGTTCGAATTGGACCCTCGGACGCCGACGCGCACACGGCCAAGCCACATCGCCTTCCCCGATCCTATGGGCACTCGGTCACGCCAAGATTCGATCTTCGTCGCTGGTATCCTAGGTGTGCCCGAGAACGACGTTGACGAATCGCTCAAGATGCTTAGTCAAATCCCCACGCCGAACCCTCAGGAGTCGTCCGAAGATTCGGAATACGACGATTCGGACGAAGAGGGGGAGATCCATGGTGTGACGAGGAAAAAGGAGAGGTTGGTCACTGCGAGGCAGAGGGTGAGGATGATGAGTAAATGGAGTGATACGGATGGGGATGAGGAGGAGGATGAGAACGAGATTGAGGCGAGTACGCCGGATTCAGTTGGGGGAAGTGTAGGGACTGACGCGCCGTCGCCGGTTGTCAAGGCGTGAAATTGGATGAGGGTTCTGTGGTTTGTTCATGTAGATCGAAGTAGCTTTGCAGTCCGCGTATATGTTGACGTTTCTCACATTATCATGTGTAGCTCCTGCCATTTATTCAGTTCTTGTATCGCCGCGTCTGCTCATCAGCTTTCCGGTGACTCGCGTGTCAGTTTAAAGTAGCCTCTTCTTGCTTGACTCGTTCGGAGGTCCATTCTGTTCGTCTTCAAGTGAGAGCCTGAGAGCCAAGGACATGAATTTGATGATCATATTTCACAGAACACAACTTTGTGAGGCTATGCAAAGATGAGACCCCCTAGGAAGAAGGGCACGACCAGAGGAGGAGAAAAGAAATCTGAACTTGGGACAAAGCTGTCGGATCGCACTTTTCCCCTTTTTCAGTACCTGTAGCGCTCCCTGTCGTCGTAGCGTCGGTCTCGCGGGGGAGCGGGAGGGTAATCATCGCGCCTCCTATCGTCGTAACGACGCATCGGCTGGGCGTACGAGTCGTAACCTCCTCCACCACGACGATCATCGTAGGCGCCGTAAGCAGCAGGAGGGGGAGGGGGTCGGCGATCATCATAGTACGAACCACCACGGCCACCATATCCGCCTCCTCCTCCACTACCGTATCCACCACGGTCGTACCCACGGTCGTAACCACGATCGTAACCTCCTCCACCTCGGTCCGAACCATACGCGCTACCGCGGGGAGGCAAATCATCGCGCTTGGGGGGTCCGTGGTATTGACCCGGGGTAGGGGTGCGCGCACGACCTCGGCGAGCGTGTTGGACGTTCATCGTGCGGCCCATGAGTTCGGTCGCGTTCAGGCCAGCGATGGCGGCGTCGGCCTCTTCGGGGGTCTCCATGGTGACGAAGGCGAAGCCGCGCGATTCCTTGGAGTGCGGGTCACGGACGACTTGGCACTTGGCAATCTGTGGGGACAGGGTGGGTCAGGTCAAGGCTCTACGACTATACGTTGCAATGTGAGACTTACTCGGCCAAATTTGGCAAAGACCTCATCAAGGTCACGGTCCTCGACGCGGGTCGACAAGCCCGAGACGTGCAAGTTGTTGCCCGGGTTGGTGTCACCGCCGCCGTTGTGGGAAGGCCTACTGGGGCAGAAGCGAGAGTCGGCTTCGGGTGCGGGTATATAAAAAGTGAACGCGAGGGATGGTGACGTACCTGGGACGCTCCTCTTGACGACGCTCGGGGGAGCGACTGCGCTCATCGCGCTGCTCGCGTCGGGGCGAGGGGGAGCGCTCGTCGGTGCGGAATTCTGTCGTGAGCGTGAGGTGGAGGTATGAGGGCGAAAAGGTGGGTCAAGTGAGGGGAGGTCGGAAGAGGGGCGTCAGTCGGTCGTGTGCGCGGAGGTCAATTGGGTGAGTAGTAGTGGGGTGCGTGGCCGGGGCCGAGGTTTTGTGGGGGTGGAGCAGGGGCGCTGGTACATGACTAGATCAAACGGGCGAGGGACCGATATATGCGTGCGACACGAGACGGCACGCTGCGAGCCGAGAGCGCCGGAAATCCCTAGCAGACGACCAGGGGCGAGCGCCAAATCGTGACTTGCGTCATAACGGCGCCGGGCATGGCAATTGGCAGCTGGCAGCTGGCAGCTGGCGCGCGGGGCGACAAGGCAGGCCGGCGACAAAGGCAGGCGGCAGGCAGGCAGGGTCGGTAGGCGACAGCGACAGGCGACAGCGACAGGCGGGCGACCTTCAGTCGAGTACGGACAACTACGCAGCGAGGACCGAGGCCGACATCGACATCGACATGTGCAGGCTCAGGAGCGACCACAAGGTGTGAGTGACCGCGTCGTAATGACAAGCCGAGGGCGCAGGTGCGAGTGCGAGTGCGAGCGGTGTTTATCGCCCCAGTGCGATGCGGTGCGGTGCCATACAATGACCGAGCATAGAGCTAGGGAGAATGGTTGTGGGGGACAAGCTCGAGTAGTGTGGCAGAGGGTGGGGACGGTGGCTGACCTTGGGAATCGGCCATGATGGAGTTGGGTTGGCGGCGTTTGCGTGGTGGGCAGCAGGAGCGCAAGCCAACGTGCGGCTGCGCGGGCGGCGTGCTTCACGATCGCTCTAGAAACCATTGACAAGTTTGCTTTTGGAGCATTACAAACAGGTTGACCCATTAACTCTGGCTGCGCACGCACTGGCAGTCGCTATGCCCGCAGCACGCCTCAATAGTAGATATGTACCTTCTCAAAAGTACTAATCAATCGCATCCGTCTTCCTCTAGGCTATAGCATGCAGCCCATACTCGAACCCCGAAACCTCGCTATGTTGTAGTAAGACGCGCGACCCTTCAATGCCCGCCGCCGATCGTCCAGTGAGGCGTCCCTCTCGTGCGTACGTTCACTAGATCGGTGAAGATGTCAGGATGTGGTGCATGGAGATCGAAATGAAACCTTCCTCTCGGAACTCACCAGAGTGAAGAATGCAGAGCGCATACACGATCCCCAAGATGACGTGGCCGGGGATCAGGCCATTAGGTGGGCGCTACCTCAGTGAGCCCACAGAACTCTTCAGTAATCGTGCGGGGTGTAAGAGCCAGCAGACTTGTATCTTCTACTCACTCGCCACCGGACACCGTAGTCTCAAGAACCGCCATCGTTGCCGGCAGGAGTGCTGGGGGAAGACAGGTCGTGGTGGCGAGTGACACGAGGCGGAGAAGAATCTATTAGTCCAGGCTGGACGGAGGTCGAGCTCGTCTTGTTGAGCCGTGATCTCATCCTGTATGTGCCTTGTAATCAAAGGAGTGGGGGGCTCACCGAACACACACAGCTTGTTTCCTTGTTTGGAGGTGAAAAGCAAATGCGATCCAGAGGTAGCCGTCCATGGCCTCTCACACGACAGGGTATGCTTGAATCCAGCTTCATAAAGCGCGCCAGCAGAGTACGCTCAAGAGTACAAGACACTTGCACACGTGCCGAAAGTCCAAGGAGAACTCATGTATTGTGGTATAGCACAATAGACAATCCAACGTGATATAAAAAGATAAGGAATGAAACGAGACTAGGGATTGTCCATGCTGCCCAAGGTGGGAGAGACGAGAAAGTGACCCGAACCGCCGAGAGACAGGGGTCGAGAGGACGTGAGCGCGGGAGAGGGTAGAACCGGGAACGAGACCGAGAACGGAAACGGGATTCCGAACGACACCTGAGGCAAGCAGAAAGTGAGAGCCGTATAAGATGCTGTGCTGGAGCCTAGGAGTGGTCTACCTGAGAACAAGAAGCAAGCTCCCTCAAGACGTCCCGCTCCGCCCCCTTCCTTCCCTTTCACCGCAATTCACCGCCTTGCACTGCCTTAAACCCGCGGGTAGCCGCTCTTCCCACTGTTTCCTGCAGTTAGCCGCTCTTGCCGCCGTTTCCTCTTCCGGCCCGCTCTTTCCGTCTGAACCCCGCACTACGTTCCCCACCATTTCTCGTCATTTTCCGAATCTTCTCCGCGCAGAGGAAGGCGCGTCATAATTATGAGAAGTATGGAGGACTGGATCCCGACTCAAGGGGTTGAGTACGAGCGCAAGATCGAGGATGGAAGATGGATCAAGCATTGCAAAAGGACTGACCTGGATCCCGACTCAAGGGGTTGAGTACGAGCGCAAGATCGAGGATGGAAGATGGATGAAGAAGGAAGAGAGACGAGTGCCCGCGAGGCGCGCGACTTCAACCCAAGCCAACGTGTCAACCGAGTCTCGATCAGGCGCTGGGATCCGGCGTAGAGGGTAATAGGCTAAAGAAGGAGTGCAAAGTAGGAGTGGAATAGTGGCATGAGAAGTAAATAGAATTAGAAGAGAATCAGTATGATTGGGTTCTGACAATAATCGCCTCCTGTGAGCCGTCTCAGCTTTAGCGTTCTTTATTATCCGTCCGGCCCGGTGCTCCGTACGCACCTCTGCCGCTTGATTGATGATGGATGATAGTCGATCCTTGAGAGATCGAAGTACTGACTGAATGTACCCAAAAGCGTTGTATTGATGAGATATCTGCTGTGAAGGGTGCGCCCCGGCGCTCCCACAGGCCGCGCCCACAACTGAGACAAGCTCTCCTCTTCTTAAGCTTATTGAATAGATTTGTCACTGTACATTTGAACTGTTTCTTCTTTCTTTTTCTGGGCTTCAGACTACCTAGATGTTTTAAATCGTCCTGAAACGACTCGAACATGTCAACTGTCGATTGCAGCAGTTCTCGCGACCTTTGAGGGATCAAACCCTTACCGTACATCTGCCGAAGCCGCTGTCATCAACCTGATCGAGCGCCCGAGGCAGCTGGTCGTCGGGGCGCCAAAGTCCGGAACTAGGGCGGTGTTAGGTCGACGGCGTCTGTGCGTCCCGGTTTCTGGGACCACTGCCGGAAACAACGTCCGAGGATGCGAGTCGGACGTACTATTGCGTCACGGTACCATCCTGAACACCCCGCAGATTGAATCATGTAAGGGGTGTGAAGGGAATGTTACGGTTCAACTAGGTACGGTCTATGAGCAGACCAGGCTCAAATGAATCGAGACAGTTGTGTCTGACCTTGCACGGTCAGTACTAGTAGTGTCCTTCCTGAGTCCTGACACCCAGTGGCAGCTGACTCCGGAAGTCGTGACGCGCAGTCAGTTCCGGCACTACCGGCCGTACATGCTCATCGGGAGTGCTTCTCCGGTTGTTAACGGATTGGAAATCAAAGCAATTCCGAACTTGATTGATTGCCGCCTTACAAAGGTCTGCATTCAAAACAACGAATCCTTCCTCAATCTACTCCCCTCCCTCTCTCTTCACCCGTAGCTTCAATGCTACAGCGTTCGAGCATCATCCTGTCGGACTCGCAGCGCGCTCATTGCTTCCCAAGTCAATGTAATTCGATCGAATAAATGTGCTTCGCAGACTCCGTCCCTGAAAATGTTTGATCCTCCTCGTTTTTCTTCGACCAAAGAGCCAGCTTCTTCGCCACATTGCTTAAACTTGAAGAAGGGTCCTTGCGACCCGTCACGGACGGGGATGCGTTCTTCATTGTTGAGCGCGAACGCGCTTCGGCGAGAATTTGGTGACGGGCGTTAACTTGCGATATAGAGGGAAGAAGGGGTCAAATTCAAGGGTTCGGTTAGGCAGTGGAAGGTGTGGGATAGGGGGTGCTTACGAGCGTGGAGGATGCAGACCGTGTAGAGGGCCCCGAGGATGACGGTGCAAAAATTCCATGACTATCGGACGGAACTCGAAACACAGCGTGCCAGTTCAGAATACTAGGAGCGGTGGCGAAAATTGCTCACTCTCTGAAATTCCGGGAGGGAAAGTTTACTCACCCGTCCAGAGGGATTGATGATCTCCAAAATCGCCATCACGGCCGAGACGATCGCAGGTGGGATGCAAGTCGTGATTGCAAGTGATGCGAGACGAATGAGCATGTAGTCGAGGCTGTGGAATGGAATGGTGAGACGTGGCGTGAGCATCTGGGGTTAAATATATAATCGATATCTATCTCAAACAAAGAGACGTACCGGTGACCGACGGCTTTCTTCCTCGTCTGAAGCGAGTAATACGCGAATGCGGCGGAGAGGTAGACATCCGTGATCTGCGGCAAGACATCGGAAAAGTTCAAATTATCAGTAGTTGTCATATCCAACCGCGAGTGTGCCACTTACACAGAGACAGAAAGCCCAGCCTGGGAGCCAGACTGCCCTTGTTCTCGGGATCTCTTTCTTCCCTAAGCTATGCGCGACTACAAGAACATCACACTAGGGTGAGCCGCTGTACCTCTGCAGGCGATTGGAGGTGTCTGGATAGCTTACCCACATTCGTCGCAAAGATGATGAAAGAAATAAGCGAAGCGAGTGTGCCCAAGAGTGCCAGAAGCGTGGGAAGGACGCGTTTCAAGGAGGCCTATAGTGTCGAAAGAAAGCGAGTTATTAAGAGTGGAAAAGAACAAGGTCACCAGTGGCGGGGAGCACTTACGACCCAAAGACGATAACAAAGATAGGATTGAGCAGCGATGAGAGGGATGTCGTTCAGGACGATGGCGGCTCGGTCGGTCCAGGGAAAGGGGGGTGGGGTTCGTTTGCCGTAGCGTGCGAAGAGGCACTGACAAACGCCAAAGTCGAGGAACATGGATCAATCAGGGGTATCATTGTGGATTCGGAGGGGAAGACGTACTGTAGCATAGACGGTCTTAATATTCATGAGTGACTTGACGCTCAGAACAGACACGACAAAAATGAGGAGTACTCTGTCGGATTTCACCACCGCCACAGTCCAAAGCATGAGCTCCGTGTATGCTACGGGCCGAGGCGCGGAAGCCCGAACAAGTTGCTCACTTGAAATAAATCGGATCTTTCGAGCCGCGTCGGAAGTACGCCGTCGTTTGAGCCGCGACCATTCCAAGGAGGCAAGTTTGGAAGAAGATGCCGACTACGAAGGCGCCTGGCGAGGTAACGGTCAGAAGGACATGGAGCGTGTTCGGTCAGTTTGTCTCGGTCAGTCTGTCTGCACCGGAAACTTCTCCGCGGTTTTCGGCCTCTGTCTCGCGATCGTCGACATCCAGTTGTACCCGGACCAGCTTGCGCATGATGATGTGTACTCTCACCTCGTTCATGCTCCATAGCGTCTATCATCCCTCTCACTTCCGCGCCCGAAGGCTGCGAAGGGAAAGCCATAGTCGCCACGTTGCGCTTGGTCGTTGCGAGACCGATAAGTTCAGCCCCGTCGTCTTTGGGTTGAAAGGCGCGGATAAGTGCCGAGACGGAGCTGTTTTGTAGAGGGCTCAAGCCGGGAGCAATGCAGATGGGCCGGGCCGGTTACTGTAACCAATGAGATCGTGATAGGTACACAAACCCAAGGAGGAAGAGATGCACTGGGAGCTTTCTTCGAAGGGAACGGTCGATTGCCCTATTTTATTTTGATTTCCGTTGCACCGCACCGTTGCATCCTTCGACTCTTCCGCCGACGGTTTTGCGAAACCCGGTGGCGGTCAGAAAGGAGTTAGTCGCTTGCTCAGGGGCTCATAAATGTTCGGCGCCGAGAGGTTCTGGAGAAGGCTATGTAGCAGTTAGAGATCGAGTCTTGAAACTGAAACTGAACTGCGCCATTTCCGTTAGTGCATTACAGTCAGACCTGAGAAAATTTATATCGCCCAATCTTATACCTGTCAAAATTTATGGACTTTTCAATCTCCCGACTTTTTTGGCTGACAGAACCTGTCCAATCTTATACCTTAAAATTTATGGGTTTAGGTTTACAGGTCAAATTATAAGATAAGAGAGAGCCGGAAATGAGCGATTGATCAGGAATTGGCCTCTCCTTCGGCGTTCTTGTTGACGAGCCGCCCGCTGGAAGAGTCCGAAATGCCCCGAAACAGCCGAGAAGCGAGCACAGGAGAGCAAAGGCGGCGGTTGACACGTTGACAGGCTAGTCGCGACGTGCTTCTCTCTCCTCTTCCACCGACAACGACGCCGAAATGAACATCTTCACAATCCGAGAAGCCCTCATCAAAAATTCCTCTTCATATCATCATGGTCTCATTCCCTTCCCGGAGTTTGAGGATCGTCATGGTCAACTCACCGCCGATCCTCAATTCGCCCCCTATCGCGCCGAATGGGACGCGTATCGCAAGCACCTGGTCGAACTCGAAAGGGATGGACCTCTCCCACCGTTAAGTTTTCATTTACATACTGATCGCTTGCTGCATTGTAGACCTTCTGATGATGTCTGTGGCACCTTCACAGCCGCCTCTGAAGCCTTGCCGAGAGGAGTCGGGCGCACGGGCCGCCGCGAATGAGGTCACCATGCTCGACCTGACCTCGTCGCCTCCAAAAAAATCGCCAACAAAGCGAATCCCTCAAGCCCTCTCTCGACATACAAAGGGCTCGACTTCAGCCTCGACCTCGTCTCAAAAGGCTAAGCCCAAGCCTCAAAAGCTTGGACCGAAAGCGAAGGGCGCGGCGACCACCGCGCAGATTGTCAAGGTCCTTGACTATCAAAAACGGCACAAGTTGACGCTCACGGCCACCGTCAAGTATTTCAACAATTCGCCAAACCACCGAGACATCCCGATCTTGAGCCAGCCAAAGCTCACGCAATGGCGCAAAAAGGAAAACGAGCATCGCGCCCTTCTCAGCGGTCAAGGAAGCATGAGGCGCAACAACAGCGTCATGCACCCGAACCTGGGAAAGGCGCTGGCAATCTGGTGTACCCAAGCTCTCGAGCAGAACACCACCATCACCACCGATGTATTGCGCCTGAAAGGTCAACAACTTGCCGACAAACTCGAGATTCGGGATTTCGCCTTTTCGAACGGCTGGCTTCAGGGCTTTAAGAAAAGGTACTCGCGTGATTCTTGTTCCAGTCAGCCGTTCTACATTGTCTGAATTTCCTCTTTGTGAATCTAGACACAATCTTCGCTCTTACAAGTTCCATGGCGAAGGCGAGAAGGTCGATGCGAAAACGCTCGAAGAGGAGCGCAAAAGAGTCGTCGATCTTAAGAACAAGTACGACCCAAGTGATATCTTCAACATGGACGAAACCAGTCGCTTCTACGCTATGCGCCCGTCTACAGGTCTTGCTCGGAACGGTCGAAATGGTGTCAAGATGAATAAGACTCGCATTACCTTCGCTTTCACGGTCAACGCCGACGGATCGGAACGGCTCCCTCCCTTCATCATTGGTAGCGCGGCGAAGCCTCGTAGCTTCAACGAAAAACCAGCCAGCTACTACAATCATTACTATCGAGCGAACAAGAAGGCGTGGATGACTGGCGAGCTTTATGTCGAATGGTTGAAAGCCCGGGATCTCGAGCTTCGCAGCAAGGGCCGAAAAGTGCAACTCTGGCTCGATAACTTCTCGGGACACACGAGGGATGTTGGTTCCATCACAAATATCGAAGTTCATTACTTTGCACCCAATATGACGTCAAGAATCCAGCCGCTCGATCAAGGAATCATTGCGAACTTCAAGGCAAACTATCGCAGAAGGTGAGTCCCGAGGTTTGAGACTGTTTTCCAACCTATCTGATCAATGATGATGCACTCTGCTTGATAGGTTCATCCGTAATGCTATTGCAAGGTTCGACGATGGTCAAACCGGCGACGATATCTACGCAATCGATCAGCTTCGAACGATGAATCTTGCGAGACAGGCGTGGAACGACATCCGCCCCGAGACGATTGCCAACTGCTGGCGCCACGCTCAAATCTTGTCTGATCGCAAGAACAAAGGATCGACCGACCATACACCTCTTCCCAACGGTCGCGGGCCCTCTCGATGGCGATCGCGGCATCATCAACGCGATGAACGCTTTGAAGACGGCGAACGATGAGCTGGCCGAAAAGGGGATAGTTACGAGCAACGAGAAGATGAGTATCCACTTTCTCGTCGATGTGGAGGAGGAGAACCTTGCCGGTCGGAGCTCTATCTCCGCTTCCTCTTCTCCTCCTCCCTCGCAATTCTCCAACTCTTCGGCAATGACCAGGTCCACAATCTCCTGATCGGTCATTTCCGCCCCACCAGCAAGGTTCTCCTCCTCCACATCGACGAGAAAGTGGATACTCATCTTCTCGTTGCTCGTAACTATCCCCTTTTCAGCCAGCTCATCGTTCACCGTCTCAGAGCGTTCATCGCGTTGATGATGCCGCGATCGCCATCGAGAGGCCCGCGACCGCTGGGAAGAGGTGTATGGTCGGTCGATCCTTTGTTCTTGCGATCAGACAAGATTTGAGCGTGGCGCCAGACACAAAAAAACCAAGATATCTAGACATCTAATGAGGAACCCTGATTCGGTCTGAGATCGGTCTGGAATTGGTCTGAGGGGGTCTGAGGGGTCTGCGGATTTGGCACCTGTTTCTGGAAGTGGCACTTCCACGGGGCTTGCCCACGACCGAGACAAAGCTCTCCTCTCCTTAGTTGAATAGATTTGTCACAGTACCTTTGGACAATCGATATTTTCTTTCTTTTCTTTCTTGGCTTTTAGAGATCTTTGCCGGCTTGGATCATCCTGAAACGACCCGAACACGTCAGAGAGTCGATTGCTGGCAGTTCTCGCGACCTTTCATAGATCACACTCTTAAATCTGCCTGTCGTTAACCTGATCGAGCGCCCGAGGCAGCTGGTCGTCGGGGCGCCAAAGTCCGGAACTAGGGCGGTGTTAGGTCGACGGCGTCTGTGCGTCCCGGTTTCTGGGACCACTGCCGGAAACAACGTCCGAGGATGCGAGTCGGACGTACTATTGCGTCACGGTACCATCCTGAACACCCCGCAGATTGAATCATGTAAGGGGTGTGAAGGGAATGTTACGGCTCAACTAAGTACGGCCTATGAGCAGACCAGGCTCAAATGAATCGAGACAGTTGTGTCTGACCTTGCACGGTCAGTACTAGTAGTGTCCTTCCTGAGTCCTGACACCCAGTGGCAGCTGACTCCGGAAGTCGTGACGCGCAGTCAGTTCCGGCACTACTGGCCGTACATGCTCATCGGGAGTGCTTCTCCGGTTGTTAACGGATTGGAAATCAAAGCAATTCCGAACTTGATTGATTGCCGCCTTACAAAGGTCTGCATTCAAAACAACGAATCCTTCCTCAATCTACTCCCCTCCCTCTCTCTTCACCCGTAGCTTCAATGCTACAGCGTTCGAGCATCATCCTGTCGGACTCGCAGCGCGCTCATTGCTTCCCAAGTCAATGTAATTCGATCGAATAAATGTGCTTCGCAGACTCCGTCCCTGAAGATGTTTGATCCTCCTCGTTTTTCTTCGACCGAAGAGCCAGCTTCTTCGCCACATTGCTTAAACTTGAAGAAGGGTCCTTGCGACCCGTCACGGACGGGGATGCGTTCTTCATTGTTGAGCGCGAACGCGCTTCGGCGAGAATTTGGTGACGGGCGTTAACTTGCGAGAGAGGGAAGAAGGGGTCAAATTCAAGGGTTCGGTTAGGCAGTGGAAGGTGTGGGATAGGGGGTGCTTACGAGCGTGGAGGATGCAGACCGTGTAGAGGGCCCCGAGGATGACGGTGCAAAAATTCCATGACTATCGGACGGAACTCGAAACACAGCGTGCCAGTTCAGAATACTAGGAGCGGTGGCGAAAATTGCTCACTCTCTGAAATTCCGGATGGAAAAGTTTACTCACCCGTCCAGAGGGATTGATGATCTCCAAAATCGCCATCACGGCCGAGACGATCGCAGGTGGGATGCAAGTCGTGATTGCAAGTGATGCGAGACGAATGAGCATGTAGTCGAGGCTGTGGAAAGGAATGGTGAGACGTGACGTGAGCATCTGGGGTTGAATATGTAATTGATATCTATCTCAAACAAAGAGACGTACCGGTGACCGACGGCTTTCTTCCTCGTCTGAAGCGAGTAATACGCGAATGCGGCGGAGAGGTAGACATCCGTGATCTGCGGCAAGACATCGGAAAAGTTCAAATTATCAGTAGTTGTCATATGCAACCGCAAGTGTGCCACTCACACAGAGACAGAAAGCCCAGGCTGGGAGCCAGACTGCCCTTTTTCCCGGGATCCCTTTCTTGCCTAGGCTAAGCTCGACTACACAAGAACATCGCAGCGGGGTGAGCCGCTGTCCCTCTACAGGCGCTTGAATGTGTCTGGATAGCTTACCCACATTCGCCGCAAATAAGATGAAGGAAATGAGCGAAGCGAGTGTGCCCAAGAGTGCCAGAAGCGTGGGAAGGACGCGTTTCAAGGAGGCCTACAGTGTCGAAAGAACGCGAGTGAATAGGAGCTGAAAGAACAAGTTTACTGGAAGGGAGCACTTACGACCCATAGACGGTAAGAAAGATAGAATTGAGCCGCGATGAGAGGGATGTCGTTCAGGATTGCGGCAGCTCGGTCGGTCCAGGGAAAGGGGGGTGGGGTTCGTTTGCCGTAGCGTGCGAAGAGGCACTGACAAACGCCAAAGTCGAGGAGGAACATGGATCAATCAGGGGTATCATTGTGGATTCGGAGGGGAAGACGTACTGTAGCATAGACGGTCTTGATATTCATGAGTGACTTGACGCTCAGAACAGACACGACAAAAATGAGGAGTACTCTGTCGGATTTCACCACCGCCACAGTCCAAAGCATGAGCTCCGTGTATGCTACGGGCCGAGGCGCGGAAGCCCGAACAAGTTGCTCACTTGAAATAAATCGGATCTTTCGAGCCGCGTCGGAAGTACGTCGTCGTTTGAGCCGCGACTATTCCAAGGAGGCAAGTTTGGAAGAAGATGCCGACTACGAAGGCGCCTGGCGAGATAACGGTCAGAAGGACATGGAGCGTGTTCGGTCAGTTTGTCTCGGTCAGTCTGTCTGCACCGGAAACTCCCCCGCGGTTTTCGACCTCTGTCTCGCGATCGTCGACATCCAGTTGTACCCGGACCAGCTTGCGCATGATGATGTGTACTCACCTCGTTCATGCTCCATTTGGCCTATCATCCCTCTCACTTCCGCGCCCGAAGGCTGCGAAGGGAAAGCCATGGTCGCCAAGTTGCGCTTGTCGTTGCAAGACAAGAGGAGTTTAGAGCCGTTGTCTTTGGGTCGAAAGGCGCAGAGAAGTGCCGAGACGGAGCTTTTTTGTATAGGGCTCAAGCCGGGATGAACACAGATGGCTCGGGCTGTGTACTGTAACTAATGAGATCGTGGTAGGTCCACAAAACCAAGGAGGAAGAGATGCGCTGGGAGCTTCCTTTGAAGGGAACGGCCGATTGCCCTATTTTATTTTGATTTCCGTTGCACCATCGCATCCGTCGACGCTTCCGCGGACGGTTTTATAAAAGCCGGCGACGGTTGGAAAGGAGTCGATTGCTTGCTCAGGGGCTCATAAATGTTCGGCGCCGAGACGTTCTGAAGAAGGCTAGCAGGAATTTAGGACTCGAGTCTCGAAGCTGAGACCGAGCCATTTCCGCCATTTTGTTAGGTACTGGCACGCGGGATGTGGCCTAGTGCATTCGGGAATAATTGGGCCTATTGAGCGTGACGTGTTTCAGGTAGCAGTTACCCCTGAGTCTCGGGCGTCGGGAGGCACGGCTGCCCATCCTGATGGCCTTCAAGCACAAGCTCGTGGAAGGCGAAGAGGGCGGAAGATGCTCTACTAGGGTCTAATAAGAGATCCCGTGACCATGTGTGCCTTTTCGAAGCAAATTGCGGTGTCTCACTTTTCGTACGGGTGCCATTAGCTCTGTCTTCGGAGGTGTGTCTCCGGAAGCTGCCATCGCACGGAAATTTGACCCTCATTTCGAGTCCTTTGAAAGGTATAAAAAGATATAGGTTCACTCTGTACAGTTGAGATACACGCAAGGAATTCATTTGCCGGTCCAAGCGGCCTTTTCGGCCCTCAAATTCGCCTGCTGCTGTTTCTCGATATCGCCGGTGACCATCCCGACCGCACTAAATTCGGGGAAAATTGAATCAGCATAAGGATCCCCATCTAATCAGTGTCCCAGAAACGAACCTCTCGACCTTGCCCTTTGCTCTCTCGAGGGAGACTTGAGGCACATGATCGTCGGCGAGGGCAGCCTTCCATTCGGCAGCTTCGGCTTTCTTGTTCCCCTCCGAAGCGGTCTTTTGATCACCCGTAATGAAACCGTAGGCGCTGATCGAATCAAGGATCAGTGATGAGCAACCTCTTCCACTCCCAAAGCTTGAACTGTGATCGCGCCGAACTGACGACTGCAATTTCCCGCCGACGCTTTCGTACGCCGCTTCACTCTTGGCTTGTTGTTGCGCCGCTTGAAGTTCTTGAGTGCCTTGGTCGAGCAGATCTTGACCTTGTTCTTTCCATGTTGGGTCGGAGGAAACCGAACCGATCGTCTGTTCGTAGAGGGGAAGGGGGGTCAGTGACGAGCCTGAGGGCGCGTTAGGTGCGGCTGCTAGCCTACGTCATTTTCAGTGGAGAGGCACTTGCGTTGTAGAGTGTGCCTTTGGCTTGTTGGACGTAGGCGTTGATTTGAGAGGAGGTTGTCGAAGTCGATGCTTCGGTCGTCGAGTCTTGGGTTTCTGCTTTTCCGGCGTCGGTGGAGGACATGATGATGTTGATCACGTGCGCGGTCCGACGGGCGTGGCTGAGACGGAGAATGAGCCGCGCGTTCGCTGCTCAGCTCGGCGCTTTTCGCTCTTGCCGGGTTGACATCGCGGCGCGTGACTGAGCGAGCGTAAAGTGCCTATTAGCGAGGGCACTGCGAGGACGGCGCAGGAGGGCGCGTGAGCTCGCACGCGCACGTCCCGGCGCGTGTCTCAACGCGCGCCTCTTGACGTTAAGCTCACCACAACGACCAACATTAAACTCGCCGCACAATGACACACCCCAATTCAATGCACTCTCGCCACCTTTGATCAAGCACCACTGGCGACACCTCTCTCCCTATTCAAGACCGCGTTCCCAGATGTCGGCCTTTAGGTCCACGACGACGATGACGGCGACGACGACGACGACGACGACGACGATGAAAAGCGTACCCGGTGCCGTACGGAGCAAGACTCGCCCTACATTCCAACCGACACGAACTATGACCCAAATCGAACAAGACCAGCTGTCAGGTCATGGAAGCACTTTGTCCCAATCCCGATCAAGGAGGACTACAGCCCACGACGGAGATCTCGAGAGTAGTACGGACGAGGAGGAGCCTGATCTGCAACGGGGCACATCATCTACCCCCTCCGTTTCACGAACGACCCAACTAGGGTATTTGACTCCACCACCGCCGAATGGAACTCGATCGTCCCCCCTTTCAACGATGCCCCGACCTCGGCCCAGAATGGGGACACCACCCGAGGAGGAATTTGATTCTGGCGATAGTTCCGACGATCCTGATTTCGGCAGGGAGATGAGGGAACAAGCGCAGAGGGAGAAGGAACTGGCTGAAAAGGCGCAGAAGGCGCAGAAGGCTTTGGAGGTGAGGCAGTGGAATAAAGAGGAGAAGCTTAGGGCTAAAAAGGAAGGGAGGAGGCCGAGGTTGAGGGAGATGCCCAAGCCGGTAAAGAAGAAGATCCGGCGGAAGGGGAAGGAAGAAGAGGTGATCGATGATGAAGAGACGCATCGGAGAAAGGTCAGGAACGGGAAACGAAAAGCGATCGAGCAGGAGGACGAACCGTGCTCGGCGGAAGATGGGGAGGACGACGACGATCCTCGCTCTCGGACCAAGTCAACCCGACCGACGTTCGACCCCGACGCCAAAGCCAGAGAGGTCCAAAAGAACTGGAGCAACCGAATTATCGAAGGCAAAAAGGCCAAAGAGGCGCGCATCAGAGCGGGAATGGACATCACCCAGGCCGAGATTCGGGAACATTGTAGTCGCAAGTGGGTGAGCCGGGAAAATCCGGATCAGATGACGAGAAAGAGGTACGAGATGGAGAAAAGATACAATCCACTTTTTGTCATGCTCGGTTAGTTACCATCTTCAAAGGTGTCTTTTTGTTTCAGATGACTGAATTTTTTCTACGAGATAGATATCGCCCCCATCATCGTCGCCGACAAGGATATGGTCGAGAACGACAGCTGGGACGACGACGACGAAGACGGCGAGAACGCCGAGGACCGCGTCGCTCGCAAGATCCTAGCCGAACATCATGCCGTCGAGATGGACTCGGATTCGGACGATGGGAGATCACGCAGGAGGGGTGAACGACCTGAAGGCGTTGTCAGACGACCTCGAAGGACGGACGCGGAGCGCGCGACCCCTCCGGTGATGGAGACGATTCAGCTTTCGAGTGATGAGGAGCCCGACACCGAGGACGATTCAATGTGTATTGACCAAGCTCGCAATACCGAGCCCAAGACACTTAACCTGAAAGCTTTTGGGGGCATCAAATCTGACCCGGGCTCGGAACCAGTGACTGAGAATGACTCGGACTCGGAGCCAGAAACCGAAGACGATGATGATGTGCCTATCCCGAGGTCCCCAGCTCGAGTACTCAAGACTGAAGACGAGGAGGAAGAGGAGGAAGAGGTCGACGCTTTCACGGCCAAGTTCCTCGAACAACAGAAGCGCAATGAGCTCGAGAAGAAGCAAGCTTGGGTGGCGGCGCGACTCGAAGCCGTCACGAGCTCCCAGTCGACCAAAACCGAATCCCAGACGTCGAATCATGCTGCTCCCGAGGATTCGCCCAAACGTGCGGAGGTCAATGCAATTCTTGAGGCAGAGGAAGAAGAGGCAGAGATTGGCGAGATGTCGTTACTCGAAAGTCAAAGGATCATCAAGGACCGTCGACTTGCCGCCGAAACCATGTCGCAGTCGACGATGCAGGAGAAACGCATCGTCAAAGGCTGTCGACCACGCTTCAATGCGTCGCCGCAACAGCTCGAGATTGGCGATCACATTCTCTCCCCACGCCATAGAATCCCGGCACCCATCAACCGTTTCCTCCGCCATTACCAGCGAGAAGGAATCGAGTTCCTATACAAGCAATACTCGGCTGGGATGGGAGGGATCCTTGGTGACGACATGGGTCTAGGCAAGACGATCCAAGTCATTGGTTTCCTCAGCGCCGTGATGGGTAAATCAGGAACGAAGAAACTCGATGCCGAAGCAAGGAAGCGCAAAGTCAACGAATGGGACGGTGTAGACCCACCCCAACCGAGCGATTTGGGCCCGACGGCGCTGATTATTTGTCCGGCGAGCGTGACGGAGAATTGGTATCGCGAGATCAAGACGTGGAGCTATCTGAAGGTTGGGATCATAGGACAGGGAAAGAAGAGGACGGATGACTTGTTGACGATGTTTAGGTCCGGGCATCTGGATGTTTGTGAGTCCGGTTGTGTGCTGTTGAGGTGGGCACAATTCACCAGATGCTGATCGTGCCCTTCGTTCGGGTAGTGATTAGTGGGTATGAGCATGTCAAGAGACAGATCGACGTCTATCGGGCCCTCGACTTTTCCGTGAGTCCATTTCCAAGCCTCCAGCTGAGCGAGGTGTTCCTGACCTAGGCAACTTTTTGAATTCGATACAGATCATCATTGCGGATGAAGTGCATCGCGCCAAATCTCGCTCAGCGGATACGACGGCCAGTCTACACGCCTTCCCCACCAAGCTCCGTTATGGTCTGACGGGGACGGCGGTGCAGAATCGGCTTGGCGAGTTCCACACCATCCTTGATTGGGCTTGTCCAGGCAAGTTGGGGACGTGGCAGCAGTGGTGAGTTGATCCTGATACAGTGGCGAAGCGAGCTGTCGTTCCGGGTATGCTGCTGAACTTGAATAAACACTTCTTTTCTGTATGCAGGCGAGACCTCGTCGAGAAACCCCTCAAGTTCGCTCAATCGTCCGAAGCCGACCAGACAACGCTTGGCCGAGGTCGTATCCGGGCCTGGGCCCTCGTCACTGGTGTGCTGCCGCACTTCTTCCTCCGGCGTACGAAGCACCAACCGTCGGTCAAGTTGCAACTGCCGAAAAAGACCGACAACCTCGTCCTTTGCCCTCTGACGCCTCTACAACGCCAAGCGTACCAGAACATCACCGCTACGGACGAGGTGCAAATGATCCTCACCGCCGATCAACCTTGTCCCTGCGGTCGAACGGACTCGCAAGGTCTTCACCTGAAACGAGGTAATTGCTGCAACCAAGATTGGAGCGAACATATCTTCCGCTACATGCACGCGTTCGGCAAGGTTTCGAATCACCTCGCGTTGATCTACCCGAACAAGGACGATTCGCAAAAGAATCCGACCAAGTACGAATTGGATGTCAGGATCCTCAAGGCTGCTTTTCCGGAAGATTGGAAGGGGAGGTCGTTGGGCCCTGGAACGGCGTTGGATGAGAGCCTTTGTGGGAAATGGAAGGTGGGTGTTTTGCGTCGTGTAGGTTCATGCTTTGAAGCGCTTTTGCTGAGACTCGTAGATGAACCCCCCACTGATAGGTACTCGAGGAGCTACTGGACGTGTGGTACGAAGCGCGGGACAAAGTTTTGATCTTTTCAAATTCATTGAGGGGTGCGTGGAGACAGCGTTTTCCGGCCAAGTATCCGTTTTCCGACGTTCGAAATGGAGGCTGAACTGAAAGGTTGGCTCGCACAGTGCTCAAACTCCTGGAGGACCTTTTTCAGTTCTCCAAGTTCCCTTCCCTAACGCTTACGGGGGAGACGAAGCAAGAGGAGCGTGAGCCGAACCTAATACAGTACTCTAACTTAAAACATTTGGAACTGACTGAATTCCTGTCCTCTCTCGTTCGAAAACCAGGCATGGCCCGCGTCGACCAATTCAACGACCCCAACGGCGAAGCGTTCTGCTTCCTCATCTCGACCAAAGCCGGTGGCGTCGGCTTGAACCTCACCGCGGCGAACAAGGTCGTCATCTTTGATCCCAACTTCAACCCATCGCACGACTTGCAAGCCATGGATCGATCGTACAGGTTCGGGCAAACGAGGGAGGTGAATGTTTATCGGTTGATCGGGGCGGGGACGTGAGTACCCTTTTTTTTCGCTACGGTGATTCGAATCGTCGAGATCGACTGACTCATGATCTTTTCTCGCGTCCAATCCTGCAGGATCGAAGAGATTATGATCAACCGTCAACAAATGAAACGCGGACTCGCGAACGTCGCCTACGACGCAGCGCCTCAACCCCGTCTCTACACGGGAATCGAGGGTAGTAAAGCCCACGAGGGGGAGTTGTTCGGCGTGAGGAATTTGTTGACGCTTAAGACTTCGTCGTTGACGCATCGGGTCGTCGAGAATGCGGCGATGGAAGATGCGAATTTCGCCAAGGAGGAGGCGGAGGAGGAGACGGAGGGGAAGGGGGAGGAGGCGGAGGTGAGTTGTGAGGTTGGAGCCGAGAGATGTTGGGATGGTGGCTGATGTTGTTTGCTTTTGATTGGTTCAGCCATGGCAAGGTGCGGACGAAGTGGTCAATGAAATCATGAGCAAAACGACTGGTGAAGGTGAGTTCCCACCCTTTCAAGGCTTGCCACGTTATGCCCAAGCCAACAGCTAATTTCTCCTCCGGTTCGGATCTCCAAAGGTCCCAAATCCAAGGCCAAAACTGAAGCCGAGCTCGAAATCGACCGGATCCTCTCGGGTCTAACCACCGTCAACGCCGACAGCACGCTCGTACCTTCCAAACTCGAAGCTCAGAGAGGAGCGAAAGCGATGGCAGTGAGCACGAGCGAATCCTCGTCTCGTCGCACTTGGGTTACGAGTGAAGAGTTGACCAGTGACGCGTGATTTGTTGTTCACAGAAAGAGATTGAGGAGAGGGATCGAGCCGCGGCGCAGAATCGCAGAGCGGGGAAAAGGTCGCTTGGTGCTGAGGTGGTGGCTTTCGATGATACGGGGAGGAGTGGGTTGTCGATGGCGAGAGGGCCGCCTCCCAAGGCGTTCGATCCGTTCGCTAGGGCGAAAAAGAAGAAGACTTGATGGGCTAGGGTGCGGGGAATGGAGGTGGTAGGGGTGGGGTTCTTGGGTTGACAAGCTTGGGAGATAGGATTTGAGTGGTTTGTAGATGCGTGTGCGTGTGTCGGGTTTCTCTGTCGTGTAGAATGAGCTTGGGTATGTTTGTTGTGCTAATGCTTTGAGCATCCGCGTATCCGTTCGCACGCTCACTCGCTCAAAGACAGGGGGTCTCGAACGTTTTTTTGTGTGTCCCGGCGCGGGCCAGCGTGTATAAGCCGCCCCCTCGCCGGCGGGTCTCTGACCGCCGCACCTCTGGCTATATTTCTAAGCACACCAAAAAGTGGCGCGCGCGGCGCCCCTCCCAGCGCCGCTCTTAAGCGGCGTACCCATACAGGTTGCCCCCCCTGCAACCCGGGTTGGCCGCTGGCCCCAGGCCAAGATTAACTTGCTAATGAGATTGAGCATTTAGTGACTAGTATGCCCGCAGACCTGTCTCTTTTAGCTTCCGCTCAGCGCCAAGTGAGACCCGCCTCAGTTCTAACCAGAGCATCAACTATCGAGACACCCTTCCTAAATCTCGAAGCTACGCAATTCACATCGACGATGGGCAGGCATCGATGGAGACCTTTCAAGGTCCGTCTGGACTACTTTGAGGAGCATCCTTCCTATAGGCCTCAAGGCCTCCGATCGGACGCCCGACTCCGCACTAACATCCCCGGAACCCGGCACCGTGTTACTTACACTGCCCGCCAAATCCAGCAAGGAACCTTCGATGATTTTGGCGAAGCTAGCTCGCCGTGTCCTCAGCGTCCAATGGCCCTTCCAATTCAGGCCGATTCCGACGAAGCCGCGAGTGACGCCGCCAACCCGAGTGGGATGGATTGGGATGAAGAGCGTTACAGCGAGTACGGTGGTGGCTTCGAACACGACTTCGATCCAGCCCCATACTCTCCGGATCGAACATCCCATTTCCCAACCTCGCCTGACTATAGTGCAATCGCCGAGCGATTATCACTGGCTGACCTGCGCCAAGTCGAAAGTTTCGAATCAGCCACACGTGGTCAGTCGAAGCAAGGAACGTACAAGCAATTCGTGTTCAACGACGCTCGCCTTAGGCGCTTGGAACGGCCAGCGCTTCTGCGCCAGTACATCGCGTTTTGCGCTGGGGTCAAAGGTCATCTACGGCCCTTGATTGACGTGGACGAGGAGCTGTGCCAGGGTTCGGTCGCTAGCGAAGTGCCGCCGCCTTGTTCATGCAAGAGTCCCCTCACGTTACGGCTTGACGTGTACGACCTCATAAGCTGTATGTGAATCAGGCGAATTGGGTCGCTGTGTCGAACGTTGCGCTGACAAGGTCGAATGGTTGAATCAATGCAGTGGTCGAGGTGCCGATCGCTTTTTGTCCGAGATCCAGCAGCGATAGCCCATGCCTTACGTACGCCGAGCGCCTTGCTCAGATCGGACTAATCGGATCGACCGCAGCTGCTCCTCGCTCTGCATTCACCTTTCGACTTCTCCAATTTTTCGACTCCTGGTGGAGCACCGCGCCGTTTCCTGTCGATGGAGCAGCTCGCGGGCTCGACATTTTCTATGAGCAAACTGGATGGGGTCGGCCGGGCCTGAGTCAGCATAAATTCGTGAGTTCGACCTCCTGTCATGATTGCTATTGAGCATTATCTGATGTTTATCATCGTTTGCGCAGGACAAGGAGTTGCGAAAGCAACTCCAGCGCGCCCTTGACGAATTTCAGGCTCTCACGACATCCGAGCGAGAATTGGGCGACCTCGTCCTCGGTGTCGCGGATTCTCTCTCGGATAAGTGTCCAGCATGCTACGGATCGACGCGTCTAAACCAAGCCCACCATAGAGTCGAAGTGCAGCATCTTGTCGCTCTGGATGGCAACTTCCAACATTCTCGCGACACCTCAGCCAAATACGATCCTCAGGAGTCGACGCCAGCCCTCTTCCTCGGCGAAGATGAGCTCGAATCGATGAAGGAGATCTGTGATGGTGGCGACAGCAAGAAGTCAGAAAAGGTCCGCTGATCCGAGCCGCCCCCTGCGATCCTTTCAACGCGCTGACGCCTTTCCTCTTGCGTCTTGAAGGCTTGTGCTGATTCGTGGAAAGCGGCCAACGGCGGTGCGACACAAATCTCGCGGGGCAAGTCCGATACGGGCCTAGTTGCCTGTGTCTGCCGTCACGATATCGCGTTGAAGATGGTCAACTTGTATCAATCAGGTGAAAAGTTCGTCAGCTCAGCTCCTCTCTCACCCGCTTACAAGGCCTGACGCTCGTTTTTGATGAGGCAGGCGCTACTACGGCTTATCGCTGCTGCAACATATTTCGAACCAACCCCCGTCCGACGATACACTCGGAGTGCTGTATGATGTTGCGTGTAATTTGGACGGCTACATGCAATCGGTCAGCAAGAGTGGCGGATCCGTCGTTTCTTAGATTTCTGGCCCTGGGGCGCCGCTGACCTTCACTGTACTTCGATCGCCCGCAGAGAGGTATCCTTCCCGATTTGTTTCCGAGATTGAAGTTTGCCACGAGCGTGTTTCATGCTTTTGCTCATCAATGGCCCTGCCAGCTCGAGTACAACCCGCGCCTGATTCAGCACTTTGGGTTGACGGATGGGGAGGGATGCGAACGCGTTTGGAGTCAGCTCCGATCGCTCATCCCGATCAATCGTCCTGCGAGCGCTTCTCACCGGCGCGTCAACATCTCGCGTCGCATCGACCTGATGAACAAGAACGGTGTTGATAGCCTCGGTATGCTCTGCCATCCACACTTTCACGCCGTGTTCGTTACTCAATCATGCGGTCCCTTCATTCATCGTCCATTCTAGGCCGTTGGCTCCGCAGACGACTGTCGAATGCTCAAGATCAGCTTGGAAGGGCACAAACTGATCTGAGCGACGTTTCGGCAATATGGTCCGAGTCTGACCTTCTCGCGCAATGGGATTTACAGCGAGCTGCTCAAGCGGCCACAACGGCGAGTCAACGTCGGGAGAATGAGGACAAGGAGCGATTCGAGCTTTTCAACATTGTACAGAAGCTACACCAGGTGGAAGAAAGGCTGTACGTTCGGCGCGTCAAGCCCCATTGGAGGACAAGGGCGTAAAATTGACACTGTGTCTTGGCATTGTGTGTTCAGATTCGATCCAATGGCTTCCGATGAAGCGAAGGCTCGCTTGCAGCAACAGCTAAGAGCTTATCAACAAGAATACAATCGTACGAAGGAACTTGCAGCTTCAGGTGCGGCGCGCGTCCTATCTTTATGAGTACCGCCACCTGATATTTGATGTCCCATGACATACCTAGATTTCCAGCATTTGTGCAACTGCGTAGTCAAACTTCGCGCATTACACAAAGCGACGGTCCAATTGCAATGCTGTCAAGAACGAATTGACTCAATGGGTCGGGGACGAAGCGGCGCGACAATCGGTCAAGTCGAAGCCAGCAAGCTTGTCAGCGTCTCACAGACGCACAGCAAGAAAGGAAAAGTGGCAATCGATATGTACAATAAAGCGGTCGGGGATTACCGAAATGCTGCGACCGAGCAATCGGCCAAGATTCTGGACAACTTGCCGCTCGCTACCACGATAAAGTCGCTTGTGACTCTGTCGCCAACGGACGCTTTCTGGCAAGACGGTTTTTTCGAACACGACACTGCGCCTTGGGCGATCGATACCGACGTTCAGAAAGGGATCAAGGCGGTTCTACTCAAAGCCAGGGCGGAAGAAGAGATTCTTCGAATCGGAGCTGAGGTTCGACAACTACTCGCGTGGCTCGAAGATGAGGACACTCGCTTTGTTAGGGTATCTCAGGCATGGGCAGAGGACAAAGGTGAGATGGACACACTCTTTCTTTGTGATGGTGCTGTACCTTACGTCGCCCCTTCTATTAGTTCCCGAAGAAACGATCGAAGCGGCTAGGAAACTTCTCGGAACTGATGGCGCGGGCGAGGTTGGCACGGCGGTGTGGCATGTGCTTCAACGCCGACAGATTTCGTTCAAAGAGCGTCTGGATCGGCTCGCCGAGCGCGATGATCTCTCGGTTGTCTGGTTCAGAACGCGTTCACCCGCAGTTCATGAATCGCGGCCCTCGGCATTCGGTTTGATCGGGGGACTTTTCGCCGGACGGCCGAAACAGGTGTCGCGCCGTTCGCGCGGTAGTCCACGTCATTTCGGTCGCCGCCTTTCGACGCTGAATAATACTCAAATGCAGAGCCTCGTCGCTGAGTCGAGCCGCCGCTCATCAGGTCCTTCTGCCGTGGACGTGCGCCACACAACCATCGACCTCGACGCATTCCGAAGGGAACTTGGCCTGACCCCCGATCCAGCCGCGGAGCAGGCCGAGCGAGACCGCGATGATGTGTATGAAAGACGAATGGAAGAACTTTTGGGCTCACGATCGGAGCAGGAGGTTGAGGAAGAAGATGATGCTGAGCTCGGGGAGGGCGGCGGAGAGTCAGGCTCGACAGGGGGTGAAGCCTCGGACGACCTCGAGATTCTCGACGAGCCCATGGGCTAGCTAGGGATGGTTTGGCGCATTTGTTGACTGTAGATTGTTTGTTATTGAAGAACTTTGCTTTTTGTATGCGGCCCATATCGCACATGGTGGAATGTGGACGCCAAAGTGCACAAAAGTAAATCGAATGTCAGCCTTAATCAGGCGTTGACGCGTTGACGACCACGATCCCACGAGCCAGTCGCCACGGCCACAGTCGCCGAACTGCAGTGCGTGCAGTGACAAGCTTGAAGGTTCTGCTAAGTTAAAGACTGGAAATTGGTGCGCATCGGTGCTGACATTTGCATTTTCAGATTTGGGAACGTTGCCAGACCTTACAACTCAAAGTTCCTTTTCTCTTCTCAGTGACAATGCTCTGTGCGCTCGGTCGATTAAGATCGCACACAACGGATGCGAGCGCCGGAATGCATTACACCCCAGTGGAAGGTTCTGCTTGGTGCTGACCGGCAGTTCGGTGAGCATCGGTGCTGACATTTGCAAGTTCAGGTAAGTT